TTCTTTCTTTCTTTCTTTCTTTCTTTCTTTCTTTCTTTCTTTCTTTCACCACTTTAGTGATGAATGACTGACATATGAAAAGCTGGACAACTTGGTGAGTTTAAGATGCGGCTGTTTTTTTGTTTTGTTTTGTTTTCTTAATTTTTTTTTTTTTTTTTTTTTACATCTGTCTTTAAAGGATACTTGTGATAGCATTTAGGGTCCAAATCAGGACAGCCCAGGATAATCTCCCCATCTCAAGATCCTTCATGTGATCACATCTGCAAAGACCCTTTTCTCAAATGCGGTAACATTTACAGGTTCTGGGATGTAGGACCTGGGGTCTCTGAGTGGCCATTATTCAGTCCACTACAGTATTTATATATAAAAAATGAAAACTCCTATCATGCCCTGCCTCATTCACCTGGGGACTGAGTGTGTGCTTTCCTGGGTGGAGGACACATTTGAGCCTACTTACTGTCATCTGGAGACATTTACTGGACTAAGCAACTGGTATGTGGGGGAAGTGGCCAGTTTTACTTTTGACTCTATGTGACTTCCATAACCAGGTTGCCCATCTCTTGTCCTGAAGAGCCTACAAGTCTCAAATTCAGACTCCTCAGGAGGCGATGAAGCAGCTCATCAGATTGAGATTTTACCGGCAGCTGCCAGCACAGGGGTCCCAACAAATAGTTGGTGACAAGCGCAGGCCCCTCGGAAGGAGCAGGACAGGCCACAGGCTGGGAAGGCAGGCCCTGGCAGCAGAGAGGGTCCCTGGAGGGGACATGCTGGCTAGGTCCCTGTCGCTCTCAGGGCTAGCCTGCTAGACGTTGTTCCAGGAGATCTAAACAAGAACAGCAGTCTGTTGGCCTACTTTCCCCACAGCTGGGCTAGACTAACGTTACCTAAACTGTGTTACGCTCCTTACACAAATAAATTTCTGCCCAAATTGTTTTGGAAGGTGAGATGTTGCATTCTACACCGTAAAAAAAATTTTCCCTCATGGACTAATCACGTACATGAAGAGATTAAAGCCTCTGTACTTCTGAAAGAAACAGTAATTTGATTCAACCAGAATCTTCCAAACTTATTTGAGCATGAACACCTCTTTCAGTAGGACATAAATGTTTTCTTAGAGCTGATGTCTCATAGAGCACAGCCTGGGTCTTCTGAGCTGTACCTCAATTTTACAAGGTTGAATTTTAGGAACAAGGTGGGCCCTGGGACACAGAACCCTTAAGTGTCTGCCCCATCTGAGCCCGCAGGGTACTGCACTAAGGCATGCATCTGCAGTGATCACACCATGATAATTTTGGGGTGCTGGTCTGTGGCATGTTCTGCTCCATTGGGGATGACCTAATGTGCCATCACGATGTCTGGGGTTGCGTACTGTGGGGTAGGAAGGGGATGAGCAGTCAGAATCCTAATCCCCTTCCTGGAGCTCACCCCTGTGGGAGCTTTTGTGTTTTAGGTAGATTTAGTCCAATGCCCACAAAAAGGCATTAATTGTCTTGCCTTCATTTGGCTTTATAGCAATGATTTTTTTAATTAAAAAATTTTTTTGTTTAATGTTTATTTTTGAGAGAGAGAGAGAGAGAGGGAGACAGAGTGTGAGTGGGGAAGGGACAGAGAGAGAGAGGGAGACACAGAATCTGAAGTAGGCTCCAGGCTCTGAGCTGTCAGCACAGAGCTGGATGCGGGGCTCAAACTCATGAACTGTAAGATCATGACCTGAGCCAAAGTCAGATGCTTAACCAAATGAGCCACCCAGGCGCCCCTATAGCAGAGTTTTTTTTTTAAGTGTTTTTTTTTTTAATGTTTATTTATTTTTGAGAGAGAGAGAGAGAGTATGAGTGGGGTGGGGCAGACACACACACACACACACACACACACACACACACACACACACACACAGAATCTGAAGCAGGCTCTAGGCTCTGAGCTGTCAGCACAGAGCCTGACTCGGGGCTCAAACTCACCAACTGTGAGATCATGACCTGAGTCGAAGTTGGATGCTTAACCAATGAGCAATCCAGGTGCCTCCCTTTAGCAGAGTTTTAAAGAATGTTCATTAAAAAATAAATAAGTAGATAAATAAATAAATAATAAATAAATAATGTTTATTTTGTCAGGGCACGTGGGTGACTCAGTTAAGCGTCTGACTCCTGTTTTCGGCTCAGGTCATAATCTCCTGGTTCATGCCCACGTTGGGCTCTGTCCTGACAGTGTAGTGCGAAGCCTGCTTGAGATTCTCTCTCTTTCCCTCTCTCTATGCCCCTTACCCAGGCACACTCTCTCCCTCTCTTTCTAAATAAATAAATAAACTTAAAAAAAAATGCCAAATGTTTATGTTCAATCTTTCTTTACTTTTAATTCATTTATTGGGGCGCCTGGGTGGCTTAGTCAGTTGAGTGTCTGACTTCAGCTTAGGTCATGATCTGATGGTTCATTGGTTTGAGCCCCACATGGTCTCACTGCTGTCAGCGTGGAGCCCACTTTAGATCCTCTGTCCTCCCCACCCCCCGCCCTTCCCTTGCTAGTGTTTCTCTTTCTCTCTTCAAAATTCATTAAAAAAAAAAAATTATTTATTTATTTATTTATTTATTTATTTATTTATTTAAGTAGGCTCCATGCCCTGTGTGGAGCCCAGCGTGGGGCTTGAACTCACAACCCTGAGATGAAGACTTGAGCTGAGATCAAGTGTTAGGGTCATCCAGTTGTCTCTATTTCAATCTTTTAATCAATATGTTTCAATCCAGAAAAATCTATTTTGTTTTCTCTATTCAAACTTTTAGCATTCCATTTGAGAAGGTTGCTGTCTACAGTGATTAGTTTTTATTGCCATTTATAAAGATTGTTTTTTATTCTTTTTAGAGTCACTTTCTGCTTTGCTCCCTTTTTTAGCATTTGCAGTCATCCTCGACTCCTCTCTCCCCCTCCACATCCAATCCATCCACACCCTGACCCTCTTCATCTTTACCGTGTGCCTAGGATCTGAACATTTCATCTGCCTTCCTAACTTGCCTCTGTGTTTCTGCCCTTGCTGCCTCCCAAGCCCTGCCCCTGTCTGTTTGCCACAGAGGACCCTTTGAAGACTGAGTCAGGTCACATCACTCCTTTCTTCTAAACCTTCAAGTAATTTCAGTCTTCAGATAACTCCAGTCTACGTGATCCATCCTCCCTCTCCACCCACCCCTCTCTGCTCTCATCTCCTACCCCTCCTTCACTGCCCTGCTTTGGCCACACTACTCTGTTCTCTGTTTCTGCACACAAGTGATTGTATTCCTACCTCAGGGCCCTTGAGCTCGCTGAAACCCAAGGTAAGATAGTGTTCCACCCTGCCCCTTTCATATCCTCCTCACCCAGCTGTTTTTCCTTCATAGTCCTTGTGAACACCTGACATATTATATATTGATTTATTTATTGTCTATCTCCTCCAGGTAGGGATTTTTGTCTGTCTGTTTATTGCTCTCTCCCTAGCAGCTATAACAGAGCTTGGCACGTTGAAAGTAGGCCCTCAATGGGGTGCCGGGGTGGCTCAATCGGTTAAGTGTCTGACTTCGCCCCAGGTCATGATCTCACACTTCGTGGGCCTGAGCCCCGCGTTGGGCTCTGTGCTGACAGCTCAGAGCCTGGAGCCTGCTTCCGATTTTGGCTCTCTCTCTCTCTCTCTCTCTCTCTGCCCCTCCCCCACTTGTGCTCTCTCTCTGGCTCTCAAAAATAACTAAATGTTAAAAAAAATTTTTTTAAAGGAAATTAGGGCCTCAATGAATATCATTAAAGGAAATAATTAGTGAGAGAAGGCATGCATGCATTTTAAGATTCTTTTACCAATTTCTCAAGAAGCGTACATATTGATCTATTCTATAGTTTCCTAGCTTACTTTTTCTTTATTAGTTTTTAGCATTTCTAGGACTCAAAAAAATTCCTGCTTCACAGTTTCATATTTGTGGTTAAACTACACCCTGCTGAAAATGGCTCATATGGTTTATTGTGAAATCCCTTCAGGGTTTCTTCTTTACCATTCTACTGCTTTAATTAAAAACAAACAAAAACCAAATTCATGAATTCTTTAAAAGCTTGCAAATTCTGCCCATTGACACTGGTTGCTGTAAACTTTTCACTTACAGGCAAATTTTGGGGTGGAGGTAAGTTTGGTCAATTTGTAAAATTGGGTTTTTGTAAGCAGATTTTCGAGAAGCTGGCTTGCTTCCTTCTCCTCAGCTACCATGGGCTGGCCTCATGTTATGACACCCTTCCTTTTTCTCCTGCTGCTGTGGCTGATTTGCACGTGTTCCTGCAGATCAACGCCAGTGTGGAGAGCAACTGGCTCCACGTCAGCTCAGATGCGTCCCGCCTGGCCATCATCTGGAAATATGGCGGCATCTACATGGACACCGATGTCATCTCCATCCGGCCCATCCCTGAGGAGAACTTTCTGGCTGCACAGTCTTCTCAGTACTCTAGTAATGGGGTGTTTGGATTCCTGCCCCACCACCCCTTCCTGTGGGAGTGCATGGAAAACTTTGTAGAACACTACAATTCAGACATTTGGGGCAACCAGGGTCCCAGTTTGATGACAAGGATGTTGAGACTGTGGTGCAAACTTAGAGACTTCCAGGAGGTGAGTGATTTCAGGTGTTTGAACCTGTCCTTCCTACACCCTCAGAGATTTTACCCCATCTCCTATCCAGAGTGGAGGCGCTACTATGAAGTCTGGGACAAAGACCTGAGCTTCAATGACTCCTACGCCCTGCATCTGTGGAACTACATGAACAACGAAGGAAGGACTGTGGTTAGAGGGAGCAACACGCTGGTGGAAAATCTCTGCCGTAAGCACTGTCCCAGGACTTACAGGGACCTGATTCAAAGCCCAGAGGGGTCAGTGACTGGGGAGGTGGGTCCAGGTAACAAATAGAGCCCACACTGGCTCTATGTTATAGAACCGGTTCCTGGAGTGCCAGCGTGCAGCTCATGTCCACGTTCCCCAGGGGTGGGGGGGTTTACCCACGTATCGCTTAGGCTCAGCTTTCTCTGTCTATAATACAAAAATCCCAAAGACCATTGGTGTATAAAATATAGAAGCTTATTTCTCTCTCATGTAAAATAAGTCTGAAGGCAGGCGATTTAGGGGAGGTGTGGTCACTGTGGTCGTTGGGGACTCAGGTTTCTTGCATCTTTCTTGTTTGTTATCCTCAGCGTCCATAGCCCCTGGTCTATATGGCTGCTTGGTATCCAGCCCATTATGTCTGCATTTCAGGCAGCAGGATGAAGGAAGGAGGAACGTACCCCTCCTTTATTTTATGAAAACTTCCTATAAGTACTGTGTAACACTTGCCTTTACATCTCACTCACTCACTGCAAGAGATGCTGAAAAATTTAAGGAGGAAGAGAAGAAAATGGGTGTTAGGAGAGGCAGCTAACGGTTTCGCTACCTGTTAAATTTACTTCTGTAAGATTAATTTCAGCAGAATGGACTAGGGACAAAGAGTCTTAATTTCTGATCTTGGGACAGAGTCTTGATATCCTGACTTTGATATTCATTAGTGAATTCAGTCAATGAATATTACCCAAGCCCCTTCTGTGTGCCAAGCACTGATTTAGTTGCTGAAAATACTGCTGGATCAAGCAGACATGGTTCCGTCTTAGTCAGTTTGGGCTGCAGTAACAAAGTACCACGGACTGGGTGGTTTATAAGCAACAGAAATTTATTTTTCACAGTTCTGGAGGCTGGTAGTCCAAGATTAGGGTGCCAGCACAGTCAGGTTCTAGTAAGGATCCTCTTCTGGTGGCAGAGGGCACTTTTCTTGTAGAATTCTCGTAGAGGGGAAGGGGTCAAGGGAGCTCTCTGGGGTCCTTTTTATAGAGAAACTAATCCCACTCATGAGGGCTTCACCCTCATGACCTAATTACCTCCCAAAGGCCCCACTTTCTAATATCATCACATTGAGGGTTAGGATTTCAACATATGAATGTTTTTTAACATTTATTCATTTTTGAGAGAGAGAGAGAGAGAGAGAGAGAGAGAGAGAGAGAGAGAAAGACAGAGAGAGAATGAGTGGGGGAGGGAGACACATAATCTGAAGCAGGCTCCAGGCGAGCTGTCAGCACGGAGCCCAAAATGGGGCTCGAACCCATGAACCGTGAGATCATGACCTGAGCTGAAGTCGGATGGTTAGCCAACTGAGCCACCCAGGAACCCCAATCTATTTATTTTTGAGAGAGAGAAAGGCAGGGGAGGAGCAGAGAGAGAGGGAGACACAGACTCTGAAGCAGACTCCAGGCTCTGAGCTGTCAGCCCAGAGTACGACCCAAGGCTCGAACCCACGAACTGTGAGATCATGATCTGAGCCAAAGTTGGACGCTTAACCTACTGAGCCACCCAGGCACCCCTTTCTATTTCTTATTGATTTATAACCACCCTTTGTATATTAAGGACACAGACATTTTTATTATTTTAGTGTAATTTTTTTCAGTTTCTCCCAGCTTGCCATGCCTTGGGTTTGTTTCTAGACGCACAGAGGGTCCTGGTTAGACTGATGCTGCATTTTTCATTTTGCAGGAAAGAACAATTTTTTTTTCCTGAGAAAGGCGATCTCTTTTGTAAGTGCATCTATCACCTTTAAGGTGATTTTTTTTCCAGGGAATGTGCTAGAGTATAATTTGTGCCCAAGGAAAAGGTTTGAAGCCCAAGCTTCAGCCAGTTCTTGGCATGTCAGAGTGCAGGCCACTTATTGCAAGGTCCTCAGATTTTTCAAGAGAAATCAGCAAACCAGATTTTTATGTAAAATCTCATTTTGACTATATACCTGTCAATCCATCCATCACCACTGTGAAAACCCAACAGCATACTTTTGACCTACGATTACCTCAGTTAGCATTTGCGGCCAGCATCCGGGCATTGGGAGATCTGTCCCATATACCTCAGATGCCCTTCTGGAAGCTAGAGCTGGCTCTGGAGCTGGCTTCTGAGGTGTGATGCCAACAGCTGACAGCAGAGAGCACTCCCATGGTGGGCTGCCTAGGGTCTAAAGTCCACCTTCAGTCAGCAGTCGGTCCCACTGCCTCCTGTCACATCCCTAAGTGTAGGAAGGAGACCAGTTGTGATGGTGTCTGTGCTGGGTCAGAGAGCGGGTGTCTGTCACTGGCCTGAGGAAGGGGTGAGAGGCTATGGGGCCAGATGAGAACCGCAGGTATTCAGGACCCACCCTCTTGGTATTCTTCGGAACCTGAAATAGAGCACATAGGAGGCACTCACTAACTCTTGGCTGTATCGAATGTTGAAATGTGGCCCAGTAGGGGAAGGATGTGAAGGTTCCATGCGTGGGAAGTCTTGGTCAGCCGAAGACAGAGTTTTAGCTTTTGGAATTACTGACAAGGTAGATGAGGCTGTATGTCAAGTTCACTTTCTCACAACAGCCCTGCAAATGAGGGTACCCCAGTTACACAAAGGGGAATTGAGGCTGGTGTAAATGACACATACAAACACACACGGGTACCGCCAGAGCTCCTTTCTGCATACTTCAGGGATCCAGTGGGAAGAGAACTGAGAAACAAATTTTCCAAGCCCCCACAGATTTCACATTTGTATGAACTCTAGAGGGCACATCACTGACTGCAAGGCCCTGGGCTAAGCCTAGAGATGGCTTAGCTAATTTGGTTCTCAGAATGACCCTGCTAGACAGAGTTTATTTTTCCCATTTTACAGAAGGGTTAAGTGACTTTTCCAGGGTTACATAGTTTGGGAATGTGGAAATGTAAATGCATCATTTAAAATGTTTAATTCCAGTATAGTTAACACACAATGTTATATTAGTTTCAGGTGTACAATATAGTGATCCAAAAATTCCATACATCACCCAGTGCTCATCACAAGTGCGTTCCCTAATCCCCATCACCTATTTCACCCATCCCCCATCCTCTCCTCTCTGGTAACCATCAGTTTGTTCTATATAGTTAACAGTCTGTTTCTTGGTTTGCCTTTCTCTCTCTCTCTCTTTTTTCCTTTGCTCATTTGTTTCTCATTTTTTACAGGGTGTCCTATGCTTATCTTTTTAATGTTTCTTTTTTTTGAGAGAGAGAGAGAGAGAGAGAGAGAGAGAGAGAGCAAGCATGAGCAGGGGGAGGGGCAGAGAGAGGGGGGGACAGAGGATCCAAAGCAGGCTCCATGCTGATAGCAGCGAGCCTGACATGGGGCTCGAACTCACGAACCATGAGATCATGACCTGAGCCGAAGTTAGAAGTATGATGCTTAACCCAGGTGCCCCAGTTTGTTTTGTTTCTTAAATTCCACATATGAGTGAAATCATATGGTATTTTTCTTTCTCTGACTTATTTTGCTTGTCATTATTCTCCCTAGCTCCATCCTTGTTGTTGTAAATGGCAAGATTTCATTCTTTTTTAATGGCTGAGTGATATTCCATTGCATGTGTGTATTTGTGTGTATTTGCGTGTGTCCATCACCTCTTCTTTATCCGTTCATCTGTTGATGGCATTTGGGCTGCTTCCATAATTTGGCTATTGTAAATAATGCTGCAATAAACACAGAGGTGCATATATCCCTTTGAATTAGTGTTTTTGTAATTTTTTTTGGGTAAATACCCAGTAGTGTGATTACTGGATCATAGGGTAGTTCTACTTTTAACTTTTTGAAGAAACTCCATACGGTTTTCCAGAGTGGCTGTACCAGTTTGCATTCCCACCAACAGTGCACAAGGGTTCCTTTTTTCTCCATATCCTCACCAACACTTGTTTCTTGTGTGTTTGATTTTAGCCATTTAGACAGGTGTGAAATGGTATCTCTTTGTAGTTTTGCTTTGCATTTCCCTGATGGTAAGTGACATTGAGCATCTTTTGATGTGTCTGTTGGCTATCTGTATGTCTTCTTTGGAGAAATGTCTGTTGATGTTTTCTGCCCATTTTTTAAAAGAATTGTTATGCCACCTGTTGGTTTTTATATTTTTATGATTTTTTAAAAACCTTTAAACGTTTATTTATTTTTGAGAGAGAGAGACAACGCGGGCAAGGGGCAGAGAGAGAGGGAGACAGAGGATCTAAAGTGGGCTGTGCACTGGCAGCGGAGAGCTGGATGCAGGGCTTGAACTCCCGAACCGTGAGATCATGACCTGAGCCAAAGCTGGACACTCAACAGACTGAGCCACCCAGTTTTCCCCTGCCCATTTTTTAATTGGTTGATTTATTTGTCTGTGTGTTGAGTTTTATCAGCTCTTTATATATTGTGGATACTAACTCTTTATTGAATACATCATTTGCAAATATCTTCTATTCGGTAGGTTGCCTTTTAGTTTTGTTGATTGTTTCTCTCACTGTGAAGATTTTTATTTTGACATAGTCCCAATAGTTTATTTTTTCTTTTGTTTCCCTTGCCACAGGAGACATACCTAGAAAATGCTGCTACAGCTGATGTCAGAGAAATTATTGCCTGTGCTTTCTTCTAGGATGTTGTTGTGTCTTTGACCCTAAAGCCTGTGTCTTTGTCTCCCCTCTAGTAGGTGGCAGGAACTCCTGGAGTGGAAAGTGTGCCCTGGCCAAGAGGAAGAGGAGGAACAAGATTCCCCATCAGAGTAGATGGCTTACAGACATCCCTACTGGATCCTGGTCCTGGCCGGCCAGTTCTTTTTTTCCATTTAAAAAATTGTGGTAAAATATATAGATGCCATAAAATCTACCCTTTTAACCATTTTCAAATGTACAATTCAGTGGCATTAAGTACATTCAACCCACCCCACCATCCATCTCTAGAACTTATCCATCATTCCAAATTGAAACTGTACCCGTTGAACAACAACTCCCTATTCCCTACAACCCCTGCCCCAGCCCCTGGTAACCACTATTCTACCTTCTGGAATAGCTCTATGAATTTGACTCTTCTAGTTATCTTGCATAAGTGGAATTATATAACATTTCTCCTTTTGCATCTGGTTTATCTCACCTAGCGTAGTATTTCCAAGGTTTATTCATAGTGGGGCATGTATCAGTCCTTCATTATGTCTTAAGACTGAATAACAGTTCATCGTATGTATGTACTACATTTTGTTCATCCATTTATATGTTAACAGACACGAGTTGTTTACACCTTTTGGCTGTTGTGAGTAATGCTGTTATGAACAGGAGCGTACAAGTATCTGTTTTAGTCCCTGTTTTAATTCTTTTGAGTATTTACCCAGAAATGGAATCGTCAGATCCTATGCTAATTTTATTTTCAATTCTTTGAGGACTCACCATTCTCTTTTTCACAGCAGCTGTACCATTTTATATTCCCACCAGCAATGAAAGGAGGGGTAGGGGCTCCAATTTCTCACATCCTTGCCAACACTTGTTGCCATACACGTTTGCAGATTGAGACTGGAACGGGAGGAAGACCTTTAAAAAAAAAAAAAGCCAGAAATCTGAGTCTCAGTAAAGCAATGACTGGCTAGGGATCGGGGACCATATCAGGGGAGAAAGAGTTCTTGGGTCCTGGGTTTCAGAGGCAGAGCCACAGGACAAGCTAGAAGGTTGGGGGTTGTGGGTTGCTTGCCATATGGACTAGCTCTGCAACTGCTCTGGCTTTTCAGCAGAACAGCTTTTGTTGTTGGTGGTGGTGGTGGCGGTGGTGGTGGCGGGTGGGTGGCTGTGTAGACCGGAACACGTCCAGCCCCCCTGGGCTCCACGCGGCCACCCTCTCAGTAAGGCCTGGGAGCCATTCTCTTGGATCCTGGATTTTCGCAACGGATTAAACGTGGCATTCCCTCCCCTTCTGCGTAACAACCTAAAAATAGCTCGTCCCAGGGGGAGGGGGATGGGAGAAGCTCCACCCCTGTCTGGGTGGGGTGGGGAGGCAGTCTCGAGAGCGCGAGGCGTCGGAGACCCGGGGGCCTCCGGCTGCTGGTGCGGAAGGCTCTGTCGCCCGCGGGCCCGCAGGTCGGCTGCACGGGGGTGGGCGGCCGGTTCGGTGCCCGCCGGGGAGGGCGTCCGGGCTCCACGACGCTGGGGGAGCATCCCCGGCCGCGCGGCGGCGAGCGTTCCGGGAACGGCCCCCGGGAGGTCGGGGCGGTGGAGCGAGCCGGGAGGCGGGGCCGGGGCCGAGCTGGGGAGCCCGCACCTCCGGACCTCTGCCCGCTCCGCCGGCTCCGGCGGCCCCCGGGAGAGCGGGGCTGCGTGGGAAAACTATGGCAGGAATTCGGCTCGGGAGGGGTGCGGATGGGGAGCGCCCTCGCCGTCCGAGCTGTGGATGCCGCGGGCTGCCGGAGGTTAAACATTAGCGACGCCCCGCAGGGGACCAGCCGGCGGAGCTGGGGCTGTGGACCGCCGCTTCCTGCGCCCCGCGTGGGCCCCCAAATCCAGCTCTCTCGGCCTGCCCTGGACCGAGGTACCCCAGGAGGGAAGCAGGAGTGACTGCACCCCCAGGATTGGGCTTCCCTGGGTGGACAGACTTTGATGCTTACTTTTTGAAAAAAGTAAAATGGTTTGGGTGGCTTGATGCTCTGAGTTCTGCAGGTAAAAGGGGATCTTTTGATAATGAGGTGATTTAAAAACAAACACATTGGCATCTGGGTTTGTCCCTCTTGCGCTCTGGGGCTGGAGTTTAGCAGGAGGCAGCACAATGGTATTTTCCTTTTGAAGTCGATGCAGATGAAGTCCAGGGGAGACTTGCTTTGTACAGGATGGAATGAGGATCCAGAAGGGGGTCTGGAGGGCTTGGACAAGGGCTGGCCTTCAGCCAGCACCCTAAGGGCCCGGCCCCTACCTGCCCCTCCATTGTTCACGGAATTTGATTTCTAACAGCACAGCACTTGGAAGAGAAGCCTGGTGAGTGAGGTGCTTTCACTGTGGCCTCTCACACTTTTCATCTGCAGACAGAGTGGGTGGTCTCCCTCCTCTGTCAGGGTCCCTCATCACTTCCTTCTGTCTCCCTGGAGCTGAGGACTGGCCAGTGAGAACAACCCCACTTACAGAAGGCCAGTCCTACAGTCAAGTGGTTGATAAACAGTCTTTTTTTTTCCTGTCTCTGTCAGCACCAGGGGTCTAGAGACATCTTCCTCATGTGGAGATACTTTTGGATACTGTCCAACTTGATAAAATGGTCCCACAGAGGTATATGCTTCAGGTTGGGAACAGAAGCCTGAATTCCTTTGTGGAATATAACTGGCTTCTGACACAGAGCTGGAGTTTGGTCAAAAGGCCTGTGGCTCAGTGGACACTGACAGGAACAGGGAAGGGGGCAACTTGGTGCGCTGTTCCGAAACCCCTGGCAGGCCCCTTTCATCAACGGCCAGTCCTGGTTAGCAGGGTTGACTACCTGCAATGTCAGCTGTACCTAGGCCTTGCGCCTCTAGGGGGGTTTCTGTGGGGGTTCCATGGGAAAGAAAGCGTCAGTATATTCTACACTGGTATTCTTTTAGATGTGAAAAGCAGTAGTGAGTTTTGACAATTCTGTACCTAGGAAGATAGGTCATGTCGGTTTGTAGTCTTCCTCCCTAAAATACTCCTAAGCAAGGCCAGTCAAAGCCCTTCCCCCAATTTTTATTTTATTAAAATTTTTTTCATGTTTATTTATTTGAGAGAGAGAGAGAGAGAGAGAGAGAGAGAGCGGGGTAGAGGCAGAGAGAAAGGGAGACACGGAATCCAAAGCAGGCTCCAGGCTCTGAGCTGTCAGCAGAGAGCCTGATGCGGGGCTGGAACTCATGAACCTCGAGATCATGACCTGAGCCTAAGTCCGACAGTTAAGTGACTGAGCCACCCATATTTTTGACAAAACTATTGGTGCCGTTTTTTAAAAATGCCTCCTTAGAGGGAAATACAGGCTTCCAGTTATGGAGTAAGTCAACAGAATAAAAAGCAGAGCATAAGGGATACAGTCAGTGATACTGTAGTAGATGGAATGGGACAGGTAGTAGCTACTATGTTTGTATGTAGCTACTATGTATGCTATGTTTGTGAACATAGCATAATGGATAAACTTGTCAAATCACTAGGTTGTACACCTGAAACTAATGTAACATTGTATGTCAACTACACTAAAGAATAAAGATAGAAAACTACCTCCTTAAAGTTCCTGGGAATGGAAGCCAGCTGTAAGGGAGAGAGCGGTTTGCTACTTGTTGGTTCTGGGAGTGGGTGCAGACCCCAGGAAGGGCAAGAGGGAGTGGGAAAGGTACACCTTTCTTTAGAACACAAGAGAATCAGGGAATAAGGCTAAGATCTGTAATGATAGTGTTCCAGAAGAGCTCTTGAGTCACTCTCATCTCCTTTGGGATCCCCAGGGCTCCCTTGTCTTTGGTGTGAGCATAGCTTGTTTGCAAACTGTGTGAGGGTTTCCTTGGCAGCCATAACAGTGAGCACTAATGACATGCCTGGGCTTCCCAGGGCGTGTACTGCTGAAGGTGGCTCAGGAGCCAGGGCACCTTGACTCTAACAGCTGCTCTTGGCTGCGTTCTTGAAGGAGCAGAAGAGACAGTAAGGTGGCAGAGGCAGTGGTATAGTCTAGCTGTCAATTTGTATTAGAATCAGCCATTTGATTGATTTTGTGCAAGTTATCTTTGACAGTTTATAGGTGGGCAGGTTTCAGAAGAACCGTAAAGTCTTCAGGAGTTGTTCCTCCATGGGATGGCTGCCTCGTGAGGTGGTGAGCACCTCATCATGGTGGGTGTGCAAGGCAAGAAAGCTTTCTTTCTTGGCTGTTGGATTGCCCCAGGTAGAAACCATCTCTTCAGTAGTGAAGCAACCTTGGAATGTTAGCATAATAAGCATTCTATGGGGTCCACTAATGCATGGCATTGATCTAGGATTGGAAGTTTCCTGGGACCCCATCAAAACATCTAGAGACGGTTAACATGGCTTCAGATTTCGTAATGACAGCAAGTCATTTCTGCCTTGTGTTTCTATTTCCAGATGTGGGGAAAGCTGTCTGCTGATAACTCAGTCTGGAGAAAGCACTGTGTTCCTGCCTGCGGGGGGTGTGTGGTTTCCAGGTAACCCGCAGCACTCTTATTTGGCTTTGTCTCCTGCTATCCCAATCTGGACACAAGCTGTGGAGTTGAGTCGTGTTCAGCTACGCTCTGTGGAGATACAGAGAAAATTTCGAGTCTCCGGCACTGGTCCTCTTGTGATTTCCTGTAAAATCTTTCCGTTCTCGGAGATTGGACAAGAGATCTCAGGTACTGTCATTTCCATGATGGGAAGTAATCTATGTGCCATCATCATCATCGTCATTGGGAGGTAGTTTGGCATAACTCCAAAGCCTTGGAGTCAGAATCTGATTCGAATTTTGGCTTCAGATTTTAGCAGTTGAGTGAGTTGGGGCAGGTCTCTTAGCTTTTCTGAGCCTCGGTTTCTACATTTGTCAGATGAGGCAGATCAGAGCTACGTACAAGGTTGTATGATGGGTAGAAATAGCAAGGCTGGCACAGTGCCTGGTACACAGAAACTTTGACAGTTCTGTTCAGGTGAATAGCAAGCTGGAGTACAAGTAATATGCTAGGGGTTAGAATACAACAGATATGAATAAGCCCTGGGGGACCTTATAGCCGGGGGAGAAGCGGGGGGAGAAGGGAGACAGGAATGTCCTGGTATGGCCTCTCCTTGGTACACCCACTGCACCCTGTCCTAGCTCCTACCCTGGCACTTACCAGTCTGTAGGGTAATTTTTGTGTATTTTTCTGTCATTCTAGAGAACTCTGGAGCCAGACACCATCATTTACTAGTTGTATGAGTGTGGGAAAGTCGTTTGCCCTCTTGGGTCACCTCTGAGTTTCTTCATTTGTACCCTGGGTTGTAGTGAGAACTAAGTGGGATAGTGCATGGCGAGCCTTATAACTGTGTGGAGCACACACTTCCAGAACTGCTAACTGGTTTCATTAACAACGGAGGGACTGTTGCCTGGGTCGCCATCAATTCTGAATGCCAGTCATGGTGCCTGGCACTTAATAGGGGCTCAGGAGTCATTTGTTGATGACAGATTTGCACAGCCACACCAGTACAGACCGGAGCATGGCCAGGTGCCCAAAGGAGTGTACACCCTGCTCTGGGAGCCCAGGGGAGGGGCAGGGAGTTCTGACTGTGAGCCTGGGAGGGATTTATGGTGGCTGTCAGGTGTGAAGAAAGCCTTGAAGCGTGCGTTCATTCACGGGCAGTGGGAGCAGGAGGATGTGGTGCAGGTCCATCTCTACCAATAGGCAGCATGATAGTGGCTAAGAGGTCAGACTCCGTAACCAGGCTGCATAGGTCTGGATCTTGCCTCTTGCGTCTGGGGCAAACTTCTTTACTTCTTTGTGGTTTGGATAATATTAGTACCCCCTTGAGGGCTTGTCCTGAGGATTACAAGGGTTATTCTTTTTTAAATGCTTGTTTATTTATTTTGAGAGAGAGAGAGAGCGC